CAAGGCTACGTTGGCTGGGTCATGTAGCCCGCATTCCCAGCCACCGCATGCCGAAACAGCTTTTGTTCGGCCGGATCGAGGGGGCTAAACGGGCGCGGCACGGGCTAGAGAAGAGATGGAGTGACGTGGTACAGGAGGACGTGGAGCTGAGTGGACTTGCCGATAGCCGGTACCAGCGGTGTCAAGATCGGCCTCTGTGGAGGAGGCTCGTGAAGGACGCTATTGGGCAGTTGGAGGCAGTCGCCCTCCAACAATAACGGAGGGCGGAGGAGCGACGCTCACAACAACAAGCGGAGCGCCGGGTGGCTAAAGCACAGCAGGTTGGCACAGTAGGGGGCACAGGTGGTGCACCAGCCAGTCATCTCAGTCAGTCGACCTGTGGCACCTGGGTCTGCCCCGTGGCACCTGGGTCTGCCCCGTGACCTCCTGCCAGCGGGTGTTCGACACTTCACGTGGCCTCAAGGTGCACATGGCCTGGCACAAGCGTCGTGGTGACGTCACCGCCACTTAGTGGTGAATGGCGGTTGTTGTTGTGTGAGTGAGTGAGTGTGTGAGTGAGTGAGTGTGTGAGTGACTGAGCAAGAGTGTGTGAGTGTGTGTGAGTGGGTGAGTAAGTGTGTGAATGAGTGTCTAAGTGAGCGAGTGTGTGAGTGAGTGTGTAAGTGAGTGAGTGTCTAAGTGTTGTTGTTGCGTGTGTGTACGTGCGTGTGCGTGTGTGTGTGAGCGCGTATGTGTGCGTGTGAGCGCGTGTGTGCGCGTGTGTGTACGTGCGTGCATGTGTGTGTGTGTGCGTGTGTGTGCGTGTGTGTGCGTGCGTGTGTGTGCGTGTGTGTGCGTGTGCGTGCGTGAGTGCGTGTGTGCGTGTGTGAGCGCGTGTGTGAGCGCGTGTGTATGTGTGTGTGCGTGAGTGTGCGCGTGCACGTGTGTGCGTGTGCGCGTGTGTGTGTGCGTGTGCGTGTGCGTGTGCGTGTGTGCGTGTGTGCGTGTGCGTGCGTGTGTGTGAGTGTGTGTGCGCGTGTGTGTGCGTGTGTGTGTGTGTGTGTGCGTGTGTGCGTGAGAGTGTGTGTGCGTGTGAGTGTGTGTGTGCGTGTACGCGTGTGTGTGTGCGTGCACGTGCGTGTGTGTGAGCGTGTGTATGTGCGTGTGCGCGTGTGTGTGTGTGTGTATGCGTGTGTGTGCGTGTGCGCGTGTGTGTATGTGTGTGTATGTGTGTGTGTATGTGTGTGTATGTGTGTGTATGTGTGTGTATGTGTGTGTATGTGTGTGTATGTGTGTGTATGTGTGTGTGTGCGTGTGCGCCGCTCACCCCGGGCCTGGGCAGGCCCCTGGTGACCTCTCTGAGCGGCGTCATGAAGACCGCCGGCCGGGGCGTCAGCAGCGCCTCGGCCAGCGGGCTGTGCGGCAGCGCCATCAGCGCCCGGTAGCGGCGCTCCGCCGTCACGATCGCTCCGGCGGCCTCGCAGCGAACCTCCCGCTCCAGCAGCGCCGACAGCGGCCCCACCGTCTGCACCGACACCGAGAAGCGGACGCCGCCGCGGGGGCCGCGCCGAGCCGGGTCGAGCGTCACGGCGGAGCCTGCGGGGGATCGGCGGGGGGGGGGGGGGGGGGGCCACGGAGCGGCGTTTTTGTGACGTTGCCTCCGCGGCGGCAGCCAGGGTGTGGCCGCTGCGATACAGCTCCATGCAGCGGCGATGATGATCACGATGACGACGACGATCACAATGATGACGATGATGACGACGATGATCACAATGATGATGACGATGATGACGATCACAATGATGACGATGATGACCATGATGACGACGATCACAATGATGACGATGATGACGACGACAATGACGATCACAATGATGGCGATGATGACCATCACAATGATGACGATGATGACGACGACGACGATGACGATCACAATGATGACGACAATCACAATGATGACGATGATGACGACGACAATGACGATCACAATGATGACGATGATGACGACGATGATGACCATCACAATGATGACGATGATGATGACCACGATGATGACCATCACAATGATGACGATGATGATGACGATGATGACGATCACAATGACGATCACAATGATGACGATGATCACAATGATGACGATGATGACGACGACGATGACGATCACAATGATAACGACGATCACAATGATGACGATGATGACGACGACGATGACGATCATAATGATGACGATGATGACGACGATGATGACCATCACAATGATGACGATGATGATGACCACGATGATGACCATCACAATGATGACGATGATGATGATGACGATCACAATGATGATCACAATGATGACGATGATGACGATCACAATGATGACGATGATGACGACGATGATGACCATCACAATTATGACGAT